ATGTGGAAACCACACAACCTGACAAAAAGAAGGAAAAGCAAGTGGCTGAAATTAGAAACCCACACTGACTAAAGGAAGGAAGACAGAAAAGTGAATGCTTCACAGTCAGACCTGACACTGCTGCAGAAAGTGAATGTTCTCATTCTTTGTATTAACTAAACACTTTGTTTTGGAAACTAGGGTTGCAGCCCTGGATACTATCGGGATTACAAAGGCTTTTTTACTGGACACTGCGTTCCCTGCAACTGCCACGGACACTCAAATCGATGTCAGGATAGGTCGGGAATATGTATTGTGAGTACACGGATAATTTGATACTATCATCAATCTGTTTCTCTTCCCAGCCCCTCTCCCTGAGACATTAATGTCACATCTCCAGCAAACCCTCAGTAGAGGGCTAGGAGGCCCCAGCACCATCAGGCTGAATTATGTGTGTTACCTTGCACATTTTCCTACATTCTAATGTGCATCATCAGAAGAGAACACCTGTCTGCACAATTACACATTACCTTAGCTTCTGCATCTCTGCCTCATTAAATGGAATTTATAGGTGGATCATGGCATTTACCTCTTGCCAGGATATGATTAGCCAGAGCCATTACTTCGGGTCCCAGTTTTGCTGGGGTAGCAGGAGGTTGCCGGAGGGGGATTTACTACTGTTAGGTGACTAGTGACAATAGTAACAAAAGAAACAAACAAAGAAAACAAAAACAGAAAACCAAGAGGGGAATGCTGAGAAAGCCTACAGCTTCTTAGTCAAACACAAAACCTTCATCATTGCAAAGACAAAGCAGGTTATAGGAAAGGAGTTTGGGTGGTGGGGAAAGGAAAGGATGACCTCACGTCCCCTTTCTTACAAGTCTGCAGGCTGCCTACCCTGTCTTCACTCATTTTTCAAGACCTCTGGGTAGTCCTTGATGTTTGTAGCTTACCTGCTGGATATTTATCTGCATTTTGGGAGATTTTATAAAATTCTACTTAATATTAGAAATTTTTCTTCTACATCTTGCAGTAGAACCTTTTTTTAAAATTCTGCTTCCTTTCCCCTTTGATCAGAGTTCTCCCTGAGAGCCATGGCCTCTCCAGTCCAGTGCTCCCTGGAATCCAGGGCCCAGTTGTGCTGAGCTCCTCTGGAAATACACTTTGCTGGTGTGGGCTTCCTGTGCACGGCATAAAGCTACCAGTGTTCCACCTCCTTGAGTTCCTAGACTATCTGAGCCAATTCAGCACCTCCCAGGCATCTGTTTCCTCTGCAAGATGGGGCAGGCCAGAACAAGAGAGTGCTGTAAAGAATCGCCCGATAGAACGTTTTGTTGAATTATAAATTTATAAGTTCCACAAGAATAAATGATACTAAGAAAGATTGTTTTCCAGCTCCTAATCATTGCTGCTTAACAGTTCACGTTTAATATTGTGTATTTAAAAGAATAAAAAAAAATGAGAAACACTGTTTCCCAGCTCTTAAGTATTCCTCTGCAACAGTTCATGTTTGATACTGTATGTCGTGTGTATCACAGGTGAATGCTTTAATTAAAATAAATATTTTTATCACTAAACCATTGTTAGATGTTGAGTTCACCTTATAAAAACTGCCAAAGAACAAAGAGAATTTCCTGTGTAGTGTATAAGCTTATGCAAGGGTAACTTTCAAGAGTCATAATTCATATTTAAAGCAAGTAAGACTTTTCCTCATTCTCTTTCTTTGT